GCCTCATTCCTAATTAATCTCCACAGCATTCCTCTCTCGGGCAGGTAGGTAAGTGAAGGATGACATAATTTCCCCAGGTTGCCTGGTGAGTCAGTTGCACAACTAGGAACAAAGCCCAGTTTTACTGGTGGCTAAGACCAAGAGGCTCAGCCCTACCTCGTGACACCTCCTCTTCAGTAAAATGACTAATTAAACAGTCAATTATTTGCTCTGGGTCTTGCTCTACAAATACCAGACAAGTTTCAGAGTCCACGTTCTCCAGGAGCATGCAATCTACAGGAAGAGAAAAATGGAAAAGGCCAAGAGATGGGGAAAATGGTTACATAGATGAGTAAGGTCTGCCATTTAATGCACAACATAGTGACTATAGTTAATTATACTGTACCGTATCCTTGAAATTTGCTAAGAGAGTAGATCTTAAATGTTCTCGCCACACACACAAAAACATGTAACTAACTATGTGAGATGATGGGTGTGTTAACCTTATTGTGGAAATCATTTTACAATATCACATATAACAAATCATCATGCTTTATACCTTAAACCTACACAGTGTAATTTGTCAATTATATCTCAATAAAGCTGGGGGAGAGGCGAGGACAGGCAGTTGTGAGCGCGTTTCACTGTACATGCTAGAGCAAACGGAGGAATATGTGAGTACGGGGCTCAATTTTTAACCAGTTTTCTCTAGGGTGAGGAATTTCAAAACCTCAATTTTTAACCTTCTATTTGAGCTTCTTCTGTTCATTCTATTTGGAACTTCATTCATTGCTGAGTACCAGAGCCTTTGCAAGAAGTTTCAAATAAAAGCATACATGAATGGACCCAGGTTCTTCTTTAAGAAAAGATTTATCTATTTATTTGAGAAAGAGAGCAAGTACAGAGGGTGGGGGCAGAGGGAGAGGGAGAGAGAGTCCCAAGCAGACTCTGTGCTGAGCACAGAGCCTGACCCAGGGCTTGATCTCATGACCCTGAGGTCACAACCTGAGCAAAACCCAGAGTCAGACACTTAACCGAGTGGGTCACCCAGGGAACCCCTGAATAGACCCAGGTTATTGAGAAAGGGTAGAGATGCCAGGATGAAGTCTGTTCTGAGCCTCAGAATGAGGGAAGAGTTATTCCTGGGTAGATTCACTGAGAATAAAGGCAAAGGGCAGATGGTTCTTAAATTTCTGTCAGAGGAAGGTAGAAGAGGTGTTTCCCAAGGCCCTCTAGTCTCCTGTTGACCAGTTGTAAGTCAATAGTCTTCCCCTTCTATTCCTGCCCACAAAGAATGGCCGTCCGTAGGACCTTGCCCCCTCTCCTGAATATCCTAAAGGACGATCTCCAGCTTGCACCTAGGGACTGATTGTTGCTTCACTTACCTCCAACTTGGCTTCTCTCTCAGCCAAATAGGGTGTAGGAGAGTTGGTCATAACATAGTTTCAAATAATTTTTATAATTAAAAAAAAAAAGTCTTCCCAAACATTATATTTTGGATCTGCATGCCAGTGTTGATCAGAGGTTTACTTTTAACTTTTGATTGTGGTTCTTTTTTTTTTTTTAAGATTTATTAATTTATTTGAGAGAGCGAGCAGACTAGCGAGAACTTGAGGGGTGGGGTGGGAATGGGAGCAGAGGGAGAGGGAGAGGGAGAATCAGACTCCCTGCCAAGCAGAGAGCCCAACTCAGGGCTCAGTCCCAGGCCCCCGGGATCACGACCCGAGCTGAAGGCAGATGCTCAACCGACTGAGGCACCCAGGACCCCTTGACTGTGGTTCTTGATCAAGACCTTACCTAATGTTGCAGAAGTAACATCCTGTTTCAGTACCCAAGGACCCCAAAGCCCTCCCTTCCTAACCCCTCTTTCACCTTGCATCTTGATCTTTAGTTTATTTCCAACTTCCTGTTCCCTTTCAAACAGAAGACTTCAGCATTCTTTTTTTTTTTAAAGATTTTATTTATTTATTTGACAGAGAGGCATAGTGAGAGCAGGAACACAAGCAGGGGGAGCAGGAGAGGGAGAAGCAGGCTTCCCGCAGAGCAGGGAGCCCGATGTGGGACTCAATCCCAGGACCCTGGGATCATGACCTGAGCCGAAGGCAGACGCTTAACTGTTGAGCCACCCAGGAGCCCAAGACTTCAGCATTCTTACCTATTTTCATTTTCTGATATCAGAGCTCACAACCTCACTTTGCATCTCATTGATATGGCCCTGTCCCCTTTGTTTTTCCTTTTATTTAAGTTTTTTATTTGGAAATAATTTCAAACTTGCAGAAAAGCTACAAGAATTAAAAAAAAAAAATACTCAGAATACCAGTAACCCTTTACACGGATTCACCTTCTGTTAACATCTGGCTATATATGCTTTATCATTTGCTGTCTATCTCTCTGCCCCAATTTTTTTTTCTGAACCATTTGAGAATAAGTTGGCCATTTAGTTATAAATACTTAAGTTGTATTTCCTAAGAATTAGGATTTCTGGGCACTTGGGTGGCTCGGTTCGTTAAGCAACTGCCTTCAGCTCAGGTCATGATCCTGGAGTCCTGGGATCGAGTCCCGCATCGGACTCCCTGAAGGGAGTCTGCTTCTCCCTCTGACCATCCCCCCTCTCATGTGCTCTCTCTCTCATTCTGTCTCTCTCAAATAAATAAATAAATCTTAAAAAAAAAGAATTAGGATTTTCTCCTACATAACTACTGTATAGTTATCAACCTCAATTAATATAATGCTGATATCATACTTTTATCTAATTTAGTGTTCATATCCCAATTTTGTAAATTAATCCAATAATTTCTTTTTTTTTTAAGATTTTATTTATTTATTTGACAGAGAGAGACACAGCGAGAGAGGGAACACAAGCAGGGGGAGTGGGAGAGGGAGAAGCAGGCTTTCCGTGGAGCAGGGAGCCTGATGCAGGGCTCCATCCCAGGACCCTGGGATCATGACCTGAGCCGAAGGCAGACGCTTAACGATTGAGCCACCCAGGCGCCCCTCCAATGATTTCTTGTATGAAATTTTTTTCTTCCATTACAGGATCCAGTCTAAGACCAGATACTGCGTTTGTTTATCCCATCTCTTCAACCTCCTTTAATCTAGAACATTTCCACAGCCTTTTTTTGTCCTTTATGACATTGATCTTTTTAAAGAATATGGGTCCCTTTTTATTTTTAATCTTTAAAAAATATTTTTCTTTGAGAATTTTTTTGGGGGGCACCTGGCTGGCTCAGTCAGTTGAGCATCTGACTCTTGGTTTTGGCTCAGGTCATGATCTTAGGTCATGGCATTGAGCCCCACGTTGGGCTCCATGCTCAGCATGAAGTCTGCTTGAGATTCTTTCCCCCTCTGCTCCTCCTTCTGCTTGCACTCTCTCCCTCTCTCTCAAATAAATAAATAAAATCTTAAAAAAAAAAGGCGTTTTTTTGGTGCCACAAGCCCCCTTCCCTGCCGGTGCTAGCCACAGTTACATCACACCCAAACCCTACAGGTATTCTTTTAAAAAACAGAATATTCCTCATTTTGTGTTTGTGTGATTTTTTTTCCCCTGTGGTTAGGTTCAGGTTATACATTCCCCACTGGAATACTACAGCTAGAGGCACATGTGTCTGTCTGCCCCTCATTGGTAATGTTCAGTTTGATAACCTAGTCAAGGTGTTGTTCAATTTCTCCATTGTATAGTTACTACTTTCCCCCTACTTACTAATTAGCAATCTGGGGGACAAAGCTTAAGACCATACACATGTGCTCCTTCTCAAAATAACCACCTCCTCAGTTTTAGCATCCACTGATTAGTCTTGCCTAACCAATCTTTATTATGATGACTACAAAATGATGAGTTTCACCCCCAGCATTCACTCCACATTCACCAGTTGACATTCAGCACTATGCTGCAAGCGTCCTCCTCTCGCTTCCACTGATTTGTTTCTTTGCTTGTCTATTTGTTACGGAATCATGGATCTCTAATTTTCTCCAAAGGTCCATAAATCATTACTGTCCTTAATTATTTAGTGCTCAAATATCCCAGATCCGGCCAGGGGAAGCCCTTTCAATCTCACTTTCTATGTCCTTATGACACATTTTTATTTATTTGTTGGGGAGAGACAGAGAGAGAGAGAGAGAGAGAGCACACAAACAGGGAGTGGCAGACAGAGGGAGAAGCAGGCTCCTTGCTGAGCAGGGGTCCTGGGATCATGACCTGAGCTGAAGGCAGATGTTTAACCGACTGAGCCACCCAGGTGCCCCAAATTTTTAAATAGTCTCTTACTTTCTGCCATAACAAGATGCTCCAGCCTCATCTTTTGCTTCCACCCCAATCTCTTGCTTCCACCCCATCCCCCAACTTTCTCCTAAGGCCATTCTTAGAGATTACACAGCAGGAGGAATGCTTGAAGATGGTGCTTGAAGAATAAGGAGAGTGTTCAAGAAGGCACCGTGGTCCACTGTTTCAGATGCTACTGAAAGGTGGCAGGACAGGGCACATCACCTTTTCCACTGTTGTCCCAGGCAGGTGCTCTAGAAAAGGAAAGATGTGTTTGGACCATGCAGATGCAGTTACTGAGACCTCTACTATGTGCTGGGCACTGTGAGGGATACAGATTAGAAGACACCCATTCCAAGGAGGTGGTCCAACAAAATAGACACACACGTCCATAAATACCCATAATACACCCCTGCAAGTGCTTTCATTTTGCTGTCAATAAGGTACATACAGGGGTTTTGGGAGTTCTGGTATGAAAGACAGTATTTAAAGCTGGGAGAGTTGGAGTAGGTTTCATCGAGGTGACTTGGGTTAGACCTTGGAGGAGAGTAAGATTTGGAAAAATGGTTTTCCTGGTGAAAAAAAAGTCACTGCTTAGTTATGCTGAATCAGGTATGACTTTGCAACTTCATTCAACTAGATCCAGTCTCCTGCTGAGTGCTGTGAAGCACAGAAAGAAGGCCAGTGAATGTAGGGCAGCACTCTTGCTTGACGCCCAACTAAGGAAAGAACCGTCATGATGCCATCTAATTTTTATTTTCAGACACAGATGAAACATGTCCTTCATTCACCAGACTGAGCTTTCACAGTGCAGTGGTTGGTACAGGACTAAATGTGAAGTTGATGCTCTACACAAGAAGAAACTGGACCTGTGCACAAGTCATCAACTCCACAGTTTTGGGAAACTTGAATGTGACCAAGAAAACCACCTTCATTGTCCATGGATTCAGGCCTACAGGCTCTGCTCCAGTTTGGATGGAGGACTTAGTACAGGGTTTGCTCTATGTAGAAGACATGAATGTGGTTGTTGTTGATTGGAATCGAGGAGCTACAACTGTAATATACAACCATGCCTCTAGTAAGACCAAAAAAGTAGCAATAGTCTTGAAGGGATTTATCGACCAGATGTTGGTAAGAGAGAATTCTCTTATATGATTCAGAGCCAAATTAAAACTGGCCCATTCTCTGGAGATTTAAAACCAAGATAGATAAAAAGATAAAACCAAGAGGGACTGTTTTGAAAACCCAACTAAGTCTCAGGGAAGGTAGAGAGCACAGCTGGAGGGAAGGCCCACAGGTATGGTCGTGCAAGTTGTGCTCTGCACAGGGCACCCATCTAAGGGAGCACCAGTGTCATGGTACACACTGTAGATCTATATATTTATTATGATATTTTCCCAGTTAAGTGTCCTCAGGAAGGGACATCTTTTTCTAATTCACATAAAGGTGTCTTATGGGTAAGAGAGGTTCTGTCTGGGGGGTTTCTGGCTTCACTGTGTAGAGTTTCCTCATCTTCTCAAGCTATTCCCTTTCCCAGAAATGCCTAAAGTTTACCGACCCGATTATCCACAACCAAAACTGATACACGTGGGCTGATTGGAGATCTTTGTGTATGATTTATGTTTTTAGAAGACTCACAAAGATTACATAAACCTTAAATTTTATCTAGTGATCTATCTCATGAATTTTCCCCTTTACAAAAATAACAAAAAGCAACCAAAAAAAGTGACTTTATATCAAAACTACCTCAGAGAGAATCAGGCCTGGTGGCCACTGTAGGCCAGGGGCAACAGAATTTTCACAAAAGCTCCCCACTTAAGCCACGGCCCTGGGAAAGTGAATAATATTAACATGACTCACCGCAGGCTGTCCCAGCTGACTGCAGTCAGTGTTGTCCCCACCCCTACTCCTTCCTTCTCTGTCTGTGATGACTTTATGAACTGAGCCAGCATGAAGATAAAGGAGTTCACCAAAATGTTTCATTGCCCTTTTCCTCAATTGGGAGGGAATCAGAGATGTCCCAGCTTGATTTCTAGCAGAAGCATGGATGGAAACACCATGGCATAAAGGTTAAGGCCCAGGCTTTGAGTTGAACAGACTGGTTTGACTCCTGCTCTGCCCCTCCCCACCTGCCTGATACTGGGCAGGTTACTTTGACTCTGGGCCTCAGTTTCCTCTTCTGTATAGTCAAAAGAATGGTATTTACTTTGTGGGGTTGTTGTGACATTTAAGTGAGCTCATAGATGTAAGTTGCTTAGAAATGTTTCTCCTAAGAACTGTTTCCAAAGTCAAGTTGAGGAAATTTCTCTAAATGTTGTCAACTCCTTGGCTCCTCACAATTTATAATGATGGACCTCTTGAAATTCCAGGTACAAGGAGCTTCTCTTGACGACATTTATATGATTGGAGTAAGTCTAGGAGCCCACATAGCCGGGTTTGTTGGAAAGATGTACAATGGGCAGCTGGGGAGAATTACAGGTAAGCCTTCCTGTGAATGGGCACGGGTTAGTCAGCCCGGGTGGGATGTTCACTGAGGGAACATGATGCAGGCAATCCACGTCCTTGGGTTTAAGGCCAGCTCTTCCAATTACTTGACCCCTCTGAGTGTGTGTCCTCTTGTGCAAAGGAGAGACCATGATAATACTGACCTCAGGTTATTACTTAATAAAATACACTTGGTAAATGATATAAAATATAAAGTATATAAATATATAAATAAGATAAAAAATAAATAAAAATAAAATTTAAAATATACAATATAAAATATGTTTAATAAAAAAGCACTTTGTAAATTGTATATGCAATAGAAAAGATTGGTGGTAACTATTTCTCTTCTGGTTAGAAAATACAGCTGTGGCCTTTGGGAATTTTATCTGTGCCCTCCAAACAGATAGCCATCTTTCTTTCACTTAATCTAAGATAGCCTGAGCCACATACCTAATATGTTTCCATTCCCAGACACAGTTGGAGTCTCATGATAGAAAGATGAGATAGGAATTTTGATAGTGAGGTTTTACCCTCTGAATATCAGCTTTCAGGACCAAGCTGAATGAAAACTCAGAAATACAGCAGACGAAACCCCAAAGGCCCCCTTGCTGGGTTCTCTTGCCTACTGCTCAGGCAACTTTTCCACAGCCACAGAGGACTGGCTGAGGGAGGCTTTCTGTTTCAGAGACTCAAGGCTTGCCCCCCTCCCCCATTCATACCCTTCCCAGAATCCATCCTCAAAGAGAGAGAGCTGTTTTCAATCTAGGGAATCTGGAGGGTAGAAGTGAACAGCGGAAGGAGAGATTCAAGCCAATTGTAAACTTTTAGCATCACAGTCTCTGAATGTGCTACTTGACTGGTACCCTGAGCAAGTCATTCCCATTCTCTCTCTCCCTCACACACACATCACTGGTGTCTCCTCTAGCCCGCTACTTGAGGTCACATTGTTTTGTTTTTCCTGGGTCTTTTTTCTTTTCTCATCTCAGTGAAAGTGGCCAAGGCCACCCTCATTTTATTTACCTGCTTTCTAGGGAGGCAGAGTTCTTTTTAAGTTTTTAACATTATTATTTTTATGTTTTAGAAAGCAACATGTCCTTTGTAAAAAGTTTCATTTCCTGGGGCGCCTGGGTGGCTTAGTCGGTTAAGCATCTGCCTTCGGCTCAGGTCATGATCCGGGGTCCTGGGATCAAGCCCCGCATCGGGCCCCCTGCTCTGTGGGCAGTCTGCTTGTCCCTCTGCCCTTCCCCGCAATCATTCTCTCTCTCTCTCTCAAATACATAAATAATGTATGTATGATATTTACTTTGTTTCTCCTAAGAACTGTAAATAATGTATTTGAGAGAGAGAGAGTGAGAGAGAAAGAGAGAGCATGGGTGGGGGGGGCAGAGGGAGAAGCAAACTCCCCAGTGAGCAAGGAGCCCAATGCGGGCTTGGTTCTGGAACCCTGGGATCCTGACCTGAGCCGAAGGCAGACACTTAACCAACTGAGCCACCCAGGCACCCCCATAAATAAAATCTTAAAAAAAAAGTTTCATTTCCTTTATGGGATCAAAGGATAGATAGCTTGAATCTGCTTGTGTCTCTTATCCGTTGGGAGCTCTTCTGGCGGGTGGGATTTTCCCCAGTGGTGCGTTAAGAACCCGCACAGCTCTCCCCACCTCGCCCCACCCCCATAGTCCTGATTTGTGGTGTTTCCTGATCTCCATGGTTTGAATATGCTCACCACTGCTGATTTCAAGCTGCCAGCCTGACATCACCAATCACAAAGTTTGGGAAGAGATGAGCAAAGTCTATAGTCTAGTGCTGGCCCTAGCAAACTCCAGCCCACCACTGCCTCATTCTGTCTCACCCCCCATTTTGCTCCCAGCAAATCTGTTCCCACCACTACTATGAACGTGAGTGCGGTGTAACCTGGTTTCTGACCATGGATGGGAAGTCCCCAAGCCAGCCTGCCTTCCGCTCTGGGCCTGGGTACCGCTAATGGTTCACACCTCAATTTTCTGGCTCCCCTGACTTTCCCACATTCTCCAGATGCCTTATCCTCTCTGATCCTCACAGTCAGTCTCTACTGTCCTCCAGAGCAGCTTCGGGGTGAAACGTTTCCCTTCTCTGCTCACCTTCCACCACCTTTTCTGACTGGCCTCACTGGATTGTGGAGTAGGAATTGGGCCTGTTGCCTAGAGACACAATTCACACCTGACTCCCCCACATTGGATGGTTCTACTTGTTAATTAGCTAGACCATAATGGCTGCTTCATTTCCTCCATATCTCTCCTTTCATCTGCCCTTCCTTTGGCTTTTTCTCTCCAGGCACCTCTCCTGGTTTTATTTCTCATTAACTTCTTAATGTTTTTGTTTTTGTTTTTTTTAATTTTGAATAAGCTCCCTGCCCAACTTGGCTCTTGAACTCATGACCCTGAGATTAAGAGTCGTGTGCTCTACTGACTGAGCCAGCTAGGCGTCCCCTATTTCTCATCAACTTCTTTAACACAAGATGGTGGACCTTAAGTGGATTTTAAAATATTCCAAGTACCTACATCACTTGATAATACATTGTATTTGCTTCTCAAACTTAAGGGTGTGTCAAAATCCCCTTAGGGGTGCTGGTTACAATACCAACCTCCTGAACCAGCAGTCTGGAGTTGGGGTCCAGGAATCTACCTTTAAGCAGAAGATGCAGGTGGTCTGAACCCCATACTTTGAGAAATGACCTTGGAGCTATGCTGTCCAATCCAGTAGCCACTAGCTATATGTAGCCACTGAGCACTTGAAATGTGGCTAATACAAATTGAGATGTTCTGTCAGTACAAGACACACACTGGATTTCAAAGACTAGGTTAAAAAAGTGATATTAAGAAGCCTCAAATTTTTTATATTGATTACATGTTGAAATGGTAATATTCTGGATATGCCAGGTTAAATAAATGGGGTTGAATACAGTGTATTATTAAATTAATTCTTCTTACTTCTATTTACTTTTTTTTAAAGGTTTTATTTATTTATTTGAGAGAGAGAGAAGGAGAGATAGAGAGCACGAGAGGGAAGAGGGTCAGAGAGAGAAGCAGACTCCCCGCTGAGCAGGGAGCCTGACGCGGGACTCGATCCCGGGACTCCAGGATCATGACCTGAGCCGAAGGCAGTCGCTTAACCAACTGAGCCACCCAGGCGCCCTCTATTTACTTTTTAAATTGGCTTCTAGAAATTTTAAAATTATATGTGTAGCTCACATTATACTTTTATTGGACAGCATTGCCTTGGAGAGTCCATGGTGAAGTTGGGGATGGGAAAAGGAGGCCCCTTGAAACCGCACGCAAAATATCAGATGTCTGTCTGCGGAGGGGTCTATGTTGGATGTCTGTCTGTCTGCAGAGAGGTTTATGTTGGATGTCTGTCTGTCTGGGGAGAGGTGTAGGGCTTTCTTCAAATTCTCAGATTTGTTAATGTTGTAATAAAAGTCAGTGAGCACCATCTAGATACTTCTGGTGATCTTTGAACAATAAGAAAGAGCTCCATTTTCCCATTGTGTTTCTATTCTATAATCATCTCAAAATGTTCTGGATTCAGATCCAGTAGTCCTTTTATACGTCTTCTGAAATAGCTATTAATTCTACCTCCATTTTGCAGATTTAAAAAAAACCTGAGGTTCAGAGAAGTAAAGTGACCCACCTAAGGTCATATAGCTGGTTGGTGTTAGGTTTGGGGCCTCAAGTCACATCTCTCTGACTCCAATGGTCTCTGTCCACACAAAATATATAGCTTTTTAGAGCACTGTAACTGTGATTTTTGGCTGACATTGTAAGCCAGTTATTTGCTATGAATTGTCACCAAGGTGATATTTCCAAACTTCCTACCTCCATCTCCATTTGTGCCTTCTGTCCTAATTCTCAGTAGCACCCTCATCACTCTCAAAATTGCTCTGGTTTGAATGTTCATTCATTCAAACTGATTTCTCTGTTGTGGATCTGGAGGCTGCTATAAACTGGGGCTCTCACTATTCCTTTTCTTAGACCAAAAGTGCTGCTATTTTATGGGGGGAGGGGGGCTTCCTTAGCAAACTCTTTCTAAGGTCGTGAGTTTCTCTTGCTGTGTTGAGAATGTCCTGTGGACCTGGGTGTCTGGGTGTTGGTCCATCTCCACCCACATCAGTTTCAGTGGAGAGCAAACTGAAGAAGAAAAGCTAGAGGGGTGAGGAAGAGAAAGATAAGGAAGGGAGGCGGATCAAGACAAGCCTCAAGGAAGCAAGAGAGTTGGGAGAGGAGAAATAGAAAGATTGAGGCCAGAACCAGGGAAGTCAGGCAAGAATGCCATCTCTTGGATTTTATATCGAACACCAGGGGATGGAAGATGACATTTAAAATGACTTTCTTAGACTCAGGACTCCGAGACATCCCTTGGAACCTTCTTCACTCCGGGTAGGTTGCTAGTAAGCAGCGTTTTGGGGAACCTCTGGTGGTTTGTCGTTGACTGTTGTTTTTAAAGTTTTTAGTTTGTGGTTACATCACCGGAGCTGCACTCTTGTTTTTTTAGCTGATGGTTAGGAACGCCCAGCTCGCATTGACTAAGGGCAAGAAATCAGCTCAGGCATTTATGGGGTGGGTTAGTTCTGCAGGAACTGACACCACACCTCTATGATACCTGGCCTGATCAGTGAGTTTCACACTTTTCCACTGGGTCTGGCAATGAAACCAAGAGTTCAACAGAGAGAGGTCATTGCATTGTGAGGCTGCGGCTCTTAAGACACTTGATCTCCCTGAACCTCGCTTCCTGCATCTGTAAAATGGGAATAATAGCTACTCAGCCTCCCAACAGGCTTGCGATGTGGATCATATGAGCAAGTATATATGAATAAAAATTGACACTGTAAAGGAGTTTTATTAATAACAAGACGGAAAGGTTGAGGGAGGTTTCTGGATCATTTAAGATGGAATAAGCATAAGCATAGCATCTGCTTTTTATATGTACCCTCAGGCGCTTTTTTCCTGAGGAACCGGTTTATCCCCATGCCCTGGTCCCCCAATGTGCACTCCCTGCTGTTGAGCCCTGCACAAGATACAGTTCCTAATGGGGTCTGGATGCCATTCCCAGGGGACACTGCCAGGCTAGCCATCTCTTCTGTGGGAAAAGGCTACAGGGCTGTGGAAAGGTGCCTGAAAAAGCAAGATGGGAATGTGAGTGCTTGCCCACCCGAGAGTGCCCCGCAGCCAGTTTGCCATCCTCATGGGGAGGGATCAAAAGCTGGGCTGCCGGTGACTCATGGCGTGGGGCTGCCAAGCCAACTCGGTTTTCTTTCCAGGTCTCGACCCTGCGGGCCCTTTATTCAATGGGAGACCCCCTGAGGACAGATTAGATCCTGGTGATGCACAGTTCGTTGACGTCATCCATTCCGACATTGACGGTAAATTATCCTTGTGGGTCAGTGAGTACCCCCTCCCACGCTCCAAAAGAGTCTCCCCCTGAGGGGATCATCATGCAGGGGTGGATCAGGTTCCTCCAGATTCCCTCTTTTCCTGCAGGGCAGGATTCCAAATCCACCGAAATAACTGAAGGGACGCTAGTTTAATGTAGGCATCCAAGATGTCTTGCTGGAGCGGAGGTGCTTTTCCCATCAACGTTTCTTATTTTTAAAGTGATCATCTTGACCAATCCAAGTGCAGGCTGATTTGCACACCATGTGGAGAAATGTTTCCATATATGCAGCAGGCTTTGGATGCATGATTTCTGTTTTATTTTCGTAAGCTGAAAGATATGTTCAAGTGTGGTGTCTCTATGGAGAGAATTCTGAGCCATCTATAGCTCTCCAGCTCTCTGTGGCTCTTCTTGGCCATTTCTGTCTTTTATGGTGTTGATTTCATATCAGGGGGTTGGGGTGATGTTAAAGATGGGTCTTTATATCCAGATGTCTGGGAGAAGAGCCAGAGTAGGAACCTGGGGAGGGTTGAGGGAACAGAGCAGAGTAGTCTTTAGTAATACACCCTCTTTGTGATACAACCACCTGAAAAACCCTTAATCAGGGGCACCTGGGTGGCTCAGCCTGTTAAGCATCCGACTCTTGATTTCAGCTCAGGTCATGATGTCAGGGTCAGGGGATCGAGCCCCCCATCTGGCTCCATGCTCAGTGCAGACTCTGCTTGTCCTTCTCCCTCTGCTCTACTCCTCCCCTGCCCCTCATACCCTGTCCCTAAATAAATAAATAAAATCTTAAAAAGAAAAAAGGAAAGAAATTGCCATCTTTGGAAAAAAAAGAGAGAAAAAGAAAAACCCTTGACCACCTATCACAGGCTCTCCGGTATGGTATTCAGCAATTGTTGGCCTTAGAGGAAATGTCTCTGTGAAATGGCTGCATTCATACTATGTAGTTTGCAGAGTATTACCTTCCTTAAGTGCAGTACCTCAATGCCATTTTAATGCTTGATGGAATGGAGAGATGGAATTTTTTATTCTTGGAGCAAGAGTGAATTTTGAGGAAAGAGAATAAGCTTTGCAGTCAGGCAGAGGGAGGCGCAGATCCCCGGTTCTGTCCTTTCTAGTGGTGTCATTTTGTTCAGTAAATCCTCTGAACCTCAGTGTCATCATCTGTAACTTACTTCATCTGAATTTACCAATGGCTACTTTTTTAGACATGGTGAAAATTAGAGGACAGGTATATTTGACACCTAGTACCATGCCCACAGACACATGTAGGTTCTCAATATGTAATAGCTATTATTATTGCAGTGATGCACTATATATGTAAACGTGTATCATTTAAATCAAGCATTTTACTGATTGTTTTGTGGTTACAAGGTTAAAGAGAATAAGCAATTATTAAAGCAATCTACAATTCTTTCTAAATAATTAGGTGGGTAACTTTGGGCAAAATATTTAAATAAGTATAACAACAACACCACCACAATCCCTGCCTATATCCTTCGAGCAAGTGAACTACGCAGTGTGAAAAGTTCAAAAATAAAAGCCTAATGTATTCTCCTTTAGCACTGGGCTACAAGGAGCCATTAGGAAACATAGACTTCTACCCAAATGGAGGATTGGATCAACCCGGTTGTCCCAAAACAATATTGGGAGGTAAGTGCAGATACTTTATATATTGTACAGTAGTGGTTTTATTTTTATTTTTATTTTTTATAAAGATTTATTTATTTATTTGAGAGAGCAAGAATGAGAGAGAGAGAGTACATGAGAGCGGGGAGGGTCAGAGGGAGAAGCAGGCTCCTCGCTGAGCAGGGAGCCCGATGCGGGACTCGATCCCAGGACTCCGGGATCATGACCTGAGCCGAAGGCAGTCGCTTAAACAACTGAGCCACCCAGGCGCCCACAGTAGTGGTTTTAAAAGGCATATTTTAAAAATCTGATCTTATTCTCTGGATAATAGTTTTTAATAGAAAACAAATCATTGGGATGCCTGGGTGGCTCACTCAGTTAAGTGGCTGCCTTCGGCTCAGGTCATGATCCGAGGGTCCTGGGATCAAGTCCCGCATCGGGCTCCTTGCTCAGCAGGGAGCCTGCTTCTCCCTCTGCCTGTAGCTCCCCGTGCTTGTACTCTCGCCCACGCTCTCTCTCTCTAACAAATAAATAAATAAAATCTTTAAAAAAAAAAGAAAACAAATCATTTGAGAAGATAGAGATAGTATAAATATAAATTATATCTTAAAAATTATTATTCAGATATACTCCTTAAAAAAAAGACCCATTGCAGCATTATTTACAATAGCCTAGATATGGAAGCAACCCAAGTGTCCATCAATAGATGAATGGATAAAGAAGATGTGGTATACTTATACAATGTAACATTGCTCAGCCATAAAAAGGAATGAATCAAATCATTTGCCACAACATCGATGGAACTAGAGGGTATTATGCTAAGTGAAACTAGTCAGAGAAAGACAAATACCACACGATTTCAATCAAATGTGGAATTTAAGAAACAAAACAAACGAACAAAGAAAAAAGAGACGAAGAACGGACTCTTTAACTATAGAGAACAAACCGATGGCTACCAGAGGGGAGGTGGGTGGGAAGATGGGTGAAATAGATGAAGGGGATTAAGAGTGCACTTACCATGATGAACACTGAGTAATGTACAGAATTGCTGAATCACTATATTGTACATCTGAAACCAATATAACACTGTATGTTAGTTATACTTAGTTTAAAAAATAAATTTTAGGGCGCCTGGGTGGCTCAGTTGGTTAAGCGACTGCCTTTGGCTCAGGTCATGATCCTGGAGTCCCGGGATCGAGTCCCACGTCGGGCTCCCCGCTTAGCGGAGAGTCTGCTTCTCCCTCTGACCCTCCCCCTTCTCATGCGCTCTCTCTCTCTCTCAAATAAATAAATAAATAAATAATCTTTAAAAAATAAATTTAAAAAAATAACCATAACCATATGATTAAAAGCTATTATGAATTATTTCTCTCTCTTGAAAAGGTGTGTCCTTGATCTAGAAGTTCCATATCTAGGAATTTCTCCTAGAGAGATAATGGAAAAGGTAGACAAAAATCAAAGTGCAAAGATATCTGACACAGCGTTATTTATAATAGCTAAATTTTTAGAAATAGTCTAAATATCCAACATGGAAAATGGTTAAATAACTATGGTATGCCCACATAAAGGAATATAATTGTTAAAAAGTCATATTTTCAGATTAATGAAAATGCTTACAATAGGATATTAAGTGAGAAAGACACAAAACTACAGTATGATACCGATTTGTTTTTTTAAATGTGTATTTGTACATGTGTAAGTATAGAAGAAAAGACTAAACATAAATGCTGCAAATAATTATTAGTGGTAAACTGTGGATATTGGACTTCTAGGTGATTTTTGCATCATCATCTCCTCTTGTATTTTCTAAATGAGCATTTGTTATTTTATAATGAGAAAAAACTCACAAAACAAAAAAATGGGTGGTTAGAGGGGAACATAAAAGTAATATGGGGGACAGAATAAAAAAACCCATCCTTAAGTGCTCTGAATATGTATTTCACCATTGCTAGAGAAAGTTAAATAATCAAGGTTGTGATTCTAGAAAAAGATGATCTTGTTACAAAATGGTAGTTGTATACAGCCCCGTGGAAATGACACGGTGTTTGGAAATGATCCAGATGAAATGGCTTAAGTAGGGTCTACCATATTGTACCATAAATGGTGCAGGCTCAAATTCTGTCCTGTGTGGTGTAGTGTAACTACCTCTCAGAAGCCAAAGATAATGTGCCTTGCTTATAAAGGACATTCTCTGTATTGTTATCAATGTCATTGTTTCTGCAAGTGGAAGTTCCAGGAACAATAATTCAATACTGACCTGTCAGATTTAGTCCAGTCCAGCGTGGCCCCATGCCAACCCATGCTTCTCTTCTCTTGCCCCAGTTTATTTCTGTCCTTCACTGATCTCCTCTATGGGCATAAGTGGACTCAGAGGGAAGAGGAAACATGGGTCTGATTCCAGCACTCAATGCCTCTCCAAGCCATGAACTCATAATCATAACTCTTCTTTTCCTGGGGTTCACTGTTTCCTACCCAGATCCTCACCTCCTTTGTTTACCCATCTTTAGGACCCTGCTCCCTTTTCTGAATGACTTACTTCATCATCGGCCCCACCCACCTTCCAATAACCTTTCAGTGCTGTGTGCTGTCGTGCTTCATCATGTCCAACCCTCCTGATGCCATCTCCGCACTTCGCAGCTTTCCCCTCTCACCATTGCACTGCCTGGCACCCGCTAGGAATTAACTGGAGGCTTTCCTCACCTCTTCTTGCCCATTCATGGCTTCCAGCGCCACTTGCCATTGTTCACTCCCTCTTACTTCATTCACGCTTCACCCTGTAGCAGAAATGGAACCCCTACCTCTGGGCTTCTCTCATGAATACCCTGTGTACGCCCATTAGAGAACCCCTTAGGTCTCTGCCAGGTCAGCCCCCACCTTGGCGTGAGAACATTCTGGAGCTGTCATGGAGCCTTGTTAATTGAGTACAAGGTCCAGGCAAACTTGCTAACTTTTCCATGGCTCTCAAAAATACTAGAGAATCCTTGGGGCGCCTGGGTGGCTCAGTCGTTAAGCATCTGCCTTCGGCTCGGGTCATGGTCCCGGGTCCCAGGGTCCTGGGATGAAGCCCCGCGTCGGGCTCCCTGCTCGGCAGGAAGCCTGCTTCTCCCTCTCCCACTCCCCCTGCTCGTGTTCCCCCTCTCGCTGTGTCTCTCTCTGCCAAATAAATAAAATCTTTAAAAAAACAAAAAAAACTAGAGAATCCTTATGTTTATCTCTTGCCGACTCCCTGTGATCGCCCCTCATGCTTCTATTCTGAAAATCTCCCTACCTATAAACCCTCACCTCTTAAAGGTGACCTAAATGTGCCTTTTTACCTAGATTGAGATCTCACCTGAGGGAGCCATTCTGTCTCTCCTCATTTTAGTTTACAAGGTCAGTCTTGACTGTCCTGTTAACCTTGTGCCCCCAGGGTGGAAGCATCCCCCATTCTTTTTTTTTTTTTAAGTTTTTTTTACATTTATTTATTATCTGAGAGAGAGAGAATGAGAGAGAGAGAGCACGAGAGGGAGGAGGGTCAGAGGGAGAAGCAGACTCCCCGCTGAGCAGGGAGCCCGATGCGGGACTCGATCCCAGGACTCCAGGATCATGACCTGAGCAGAAGGCAGTCGCTTAACCAACTGAGCCACCCAGGCGCGCCCCCCCCCCCATTCTTTTAAAAAGCTGTCTCCTCTGCCTCCCCTCCTTGGGAGTAATCCTCAATACCTTCTTTCTCTGTCTACTAGTTTAAATGTGCTTGCCTTCCGCTGAAAATCTCTGGAGCAACTATCATTGGATTTTTCTCTTCCTTTTCAATGACAAAGAAGGACATGGGTTGAATCCTGATTCTACCACATAATACCTGTGTGACCTTGGTCAAGTCATTTAAGCTCTCTGAGTCTCAGTGTCCTGCTGGGTAAAATGGGGATAATCATGCCTATCTTCTTTCATCCTGCCACGTGCCAGCGTGAATCCTGATCTATGGGTTTTTATAAGGATTCAGTGGAATAAAATACATTGAAGCTGTTAGCACAGTGCCTGGCCTATAGGAGACAGATGATGAATCGTGCGCGTGCATACCGTGTGATGCGCTATTGTTAAACGCTGCAGCTGCTCTACTCTTTGATCCTTCCTTTGACAATCAAGGATTGCGATATTTTAAGTGTGACCACCAGAGGTCCGTGTACCTGTACCTTTCTTCTCTGAGAGAGAACTGTTCTATCACCGCGTATCCCTGTGACTCCTACCGGGATTATAGAAACGGCAAGTGTGTCAACTGTGGCATACCACAAAAGGAGTCCTGTCCCCTCCTGGGTAAGTCCAAGCAGTTTTCCCCTTTGATTCACAAAGAGTTCATTTTTGGTAGAATCCTAGCACCATTTTACTATCTAAAAATGGGCCTGAAAATTACGTGGTTTAAAAAAATTTTTACTTAGTTTTTTCCAGCCAGTTTGTTCTGCGAAGTCCTCTTGGACCTTAGAAAAGCCATTTGTATGTGATTTCATCTAGAGGGCAGTGCAACCTCCCTGGACATGCCAGCATAAAAAAAGAAGGTTGCAAACGAGTTTCCAAGCCCACCCAGGGCATAGTTACCTTACATAGCCAGCTCCCCTGGGGAAAGAAACATCCTCTTCATGCACGCAACCTCTCTGCTGGGGGAGAGTCACAGAGGGCCCAGACTCTCCTGTCAAATGAGCCTTGCAGAATGACTCCTTCCAACAAACTGTGTCTGTAAATGCCCTCACACTGAACCCTGACTCTTATGTGCATGTGCAGGGTGGAGTGGGGGTCACAGATATACTGTGGAGGCTGCTTGCACATTTGCTAAGGATTGGTAGAAATATTCCAGACGGTGAGGCTTTGAAACTGGAAGATCATGAGAATTTTCTAATTGTTCAAAGGAAAAACCCATGTTAATATCAGGGCATGCTAGAGACAAGGGGTTTTCAAACTTGATTGTGCCTAAGTTAATTGGAAAGCTCTAGGGAGCTTTTAAAAATTACTCATGTTCCCATTCCGGATCAGTCAAGTCAGCATGTGAAGGCCATTCTCTAGGGGTGGGGACAGAGGAGAGAGAGAAGCCTCACTGATAGCACTCAGCCTCATTCCTGCAGGCACAAACCTAAAGGAGAGGAGTCCCCTGCTTGTTGACATAGTCATAGCAAGCTCAGGTTCTGTGCAATTTGGGGCCTAATTGTAGTTCTTCAAGAAAGCACAATGCTTGGCAAGAGTGATGCTATTTTAGGTATAAACCTGAATCTTTTTTAATCTGTATAATTAATGTATTACTGAAAAATGTCAGCGCTCTTCTTAGTCTACACAGTGTGTGGGAGAACTAGTGTGCTACTAAGAACCAGGGTGATATAATGTCAGTAAAAATGGGGGAGAGCCACTGTGGGGTCATTTTGCAAGTCTCAGCTCTGAGGGATAGGGTAGCAAGCAAGGTGTGGTGGATGCAGGGGAGGCATGCGCTGGTGGCTCTGGAGGTCCTCCCCGTAGGGGGTGGGTGTAAGAGGGAGGTTGTCTTGGTGGTGTGGGCGGTCAAACTCACTTCACTCACTACCTCCCCAGCTACTTTGACACTTACATAATACATGTTAATGTTACATTTTTCCAACTTGCTTTACAGGCTATTATGCTGATAATTGGAAAGAGTATTTAAAGCAGAAAGACCCTCCTATGACTAAAGCGTTCTTTGACACAGCCAAGGAGGAACCGTACTGCAGTGAGTGGTGGATGTGGTTGTTTGCTTTGGCCCAACTCCCTCCTTTTTTTTTTTTTTTAAATGGCTGAGCCTCAGCTTCCTGGCTACCTCTTGGCAAATAAAGGCCATGGTGGAGTGTGGACTTTGGAGCTGGAAGGACTTGGGTCGAGTCCTGACTCCAACACATAGTAGCTCTGTGACCTTGGTCAAGACATTTAACCTCTCTGAGTCTCAGTGTCCTGCTAGGTGAAATAGGGATAACAATGCCTATCTTCTGGGTTATAGGGATTAAATCTCAACAAATCATGATTGTTAGCTTCACTGGATGGCTATTCTTTTTTTTTTTTATAAATATATGTATATTTATAAAAATATACATATATATATATATTTAAAGTAAACCCTATACCTCATGTGGGGCTTGAACCCATGACCCCAAGATCAAGAGTTGCATGGTCTACTGACTGAGCCAGCCAGGTGTCCCCTGTGAGCCATTCTAATTACTAAGATCTTCCAGAAAATTTGCTTAACCCCCCCCCCAAAGACCTGAGATTGTGGCTAGGTAAAATCAGGTGTCAGCCACATCTATGGGTCAGTTCCAGTTCCAAAGCAACTGTGATGACCTTCTAAAGACATTGAGGGCTTGGGTATTCCAGATGGGGGCTAAATGGGGCAGCAGATGATTAGATGCCCTGGGAATCAAGTAGGAATTTTCCTGGGCATGTCTTGCAATCTTGTTCCCCTTTTCACTTTTCTTAGGAGCAACCCTAATAAAAGAGGTTGCAGATCAGTGGGTTTCCCTCCTCCTTTGGAGCTATGTGGGGCAGCCCAGGGTTTGCTGTCTGCCTGGTCCAAGTGAGGCAAGTGCCCGAGTAATAATGGGCCATGGAATGGCAACTCTAGGGCTAACCTTATTCCTTCATGAGACCAGCATCTCCCTGAGCCTCTGTCCCCTTCTTCGCAAGTCTGATCAAGAGATAGCCGATCTGGCTATCGTGGTGGAATCCCCATCTTCCCAGAGCATCATTGACCTTGGGAAGCAGAGAGTGGGGAGGAAGAATAATTCTCTGAACACATCATGCACTCTCACTGGTTCAGGAGGAATACACCAAGCCTATATGGTACTACTGCCAGGATTACAAAGAGGCGTCCCTTCCCAGCTACTGTAGTATATTTTAGCTTTATTTTTTTTTAACTGCATAAGACATTACTCAGGCAATATTTGTGTAGATACACCCATATATTCACCACTTTTTGGATTATCACTTTTGTCTCTTGCATTTTATAAATATAGGTATGTGTGCTGACTAATGATGGGAGAATACCCGAGCATGATAAGAATTCTAAGAGGGGAAACCTGACTTAGTCTGAGGGTCAGTGAAGGCCTCCTGGAGGAAGTGATATTAAGCCAAAACCTGAAGGATGAGCTGGCAAAGGGGGCAAAGTCAGAGTGTCCAAGTGGGGAGAAGGCCCAGGAGCAAGAGACACCTGGCAGTGCAGGTTAGATATGGCATGACTGGGGAAGACATGAGGGGGCTGGTGGGCATGGCCCAGATTACGGAAGACCTTGTCAGCTCTGGAGAGTCTCTACATGGCCGCCTGGTTGGTTTTGTCTAAAAGGGCAGGGATTGCAGTGAACCAATCGTACGCAGCAGTAGACCATGTAAGGAAGGACCACGGAAAGGAATATTAGAAAATTCTGCCCTGGATCTTTGCAGAGAAACTAGGGAGGAAGAGAACAAGAGACTCAAGTCATGAGGGAGGTTGGGTTTCTAGGAATTGACCTTTCAGGGGAGCAGTTGAGAGTGTCCCTCTCTTCCTGTGCTCTCTCCTTGTTTTGCAGTATATCATTACTTTGTGGATATTATAACCTGGAACAAGAACATAAGAAGAGGGTCCATTACAATCAAATTGAGCGACAGAGCTGGGAACATCACAGAATCCAGAATCAATCAGTAAGTTGGGCTGGGATGGTTTGCAGTTTGCTCTCTCCCTTTTTGCGCAGAGAAATTAAATCCCAAATATACCCACTTTCTTATTTATAGGTTTGTACTTGTCTTTGTTCTACAAAAGATTTAAGGGAGTAATTGCTTCTTTTATATATAGATAGATACATATTTTTTTATTAACATATAATGTATTATTTGTTTCAGGGGTACAGGTCTGTGATTCATCAGTCTTACACAATTCACAGCGCTCACCATAGCTCATACCCTCCCCAGTGTCCATCACCCAGCCACCCCATCCCTCCCACCCCCCACCACTCCAGCAACCCTCAGTTTGTTTCCTGAGATTAAGAGTCTCTTATGGTTTGTCTCCCTCTCTGGTTTCATCTTGTTTCATTTTTCCCTCCCTTCCCCTATGATCCTCTGCCTTCTCAAATTCCACATATGAGTGAGATCATATGATAATTGTCTTTCTCTGATTGACTTATTTCGCTTAGCATCATTGCAAATGGCAAGATTTCATTTTTTGATGGCTGCATAATATTCCATTGTATGTATATACCACATCTTCTTTACCCATTCATCTGTTGGTGGACATCTGGGCTCTTTCCACAGTTTGGCTCTCGTGGACATTGCTGCTATAAACACTGGGGGGAAGGTGCCCCTTTGGGTCACTACATTTGTATCTTTGAGGTAAAAACCCAGTAGTGCAATTGCTGGGTCCTAGGGTAGGGAGCAATTGCTTCTTGTGGCTCTTGATCTTCTAGGCTCTTTACAAATGAAAGTGGCACAGAGATTTATTTTCTTTTCCTTTTTCCTCCCTCCCTTCCTTACCCCCTTCTTCCCTCCCCCCTTCTTCCCTCCCC